AAAAACATTCAATATCCCGTTCGGGAAAATAAGACAACTAACGAAGTACCAAGATGGAAATATTATTCCGCTTTCAATGTTCCTGGTTGAGGTACTACGAACATCCGAAGGAAAACTTATTTTCAAAATTGAATCCTATCAATCAAAATCCTATTCCTATCAAATCCTTACAAAATTGAATCCTATCAATCCTATCAATGCGAGTCGTAGTGGAAGGCTACAAATCTAAACAAGGACCAACGCAGTGTCATCGATGCCAGAGATACGGACCCAGCCAGTCGACATGCTATAATAAGTTCAGGTGCATGAAAATGCGCGGAATACCATAAAACATGGGAATGCACACATACTAAAGAACAGGGACCAGGCAAGTGCGATCTTTGTGGCAATAATCACATTTTGGCTTTTAAAGGTTGTCCTGAATATCATCGGAATAAGCCAAAAAGTAAAATAACATCACCAAATAAGCCCAAGCCTATACCAGATAAAAATGAAAAACGAATTTCCTGCGCTGCTAAAAGCCACAAAAGATCCAGGATAGAAGAATTTTACAGCAAGGAATAATACTGAAGCAGTTCGTGCTGAACGTACCCCAGCCAACAAAGAAACTCTTACTACAAGCTCCAAAGAAACCAATGTAGCTATGAAGGAATGACTTACGAAAGCTAAAACACTCGTGTAATCATACAAAAATTCAAAATCCTTTGTTGACAAAATTCAACTCGGAATCGAGCTAATAGAAACATTAGTTAATTTTGAAAATGGACTGTGTTTCTAATAGATCAAATATACGCAACCAAAGCACAGAAAACTGTTATACTAAAGTTACATCATTTAATGCCAACGGGATATGAAAACAAAAATCTGAAGTTATTAACTTCTTGCAAAAGCATCCTATTGATATATTAATGCTTAATGACACTCATTTAAGACCGAGCGATCGCTTTAAAATTCATGGCTACAATATTTTTAGGAATGACCGCACCCATAATAAAGGCGAGGGCACAGCAATTCTTGTAAAAAGTCACATGAAATGTGTGAAATTCAATCTACCAAGACCGCTTTCCATAGAGCATACAGCAGTCCTTATTTACCGGGAAAACCAATGAAGCATTCTTATTTATTTCAGTTTACAACCCACCGAATCATATTATGTCTAATACTGATCTAGAAAATCTCACCAGTGCTGAACTTCGCTCCATTGTAGCAGGCGATTTAAATTCAAAAAGCCTCTCCTGGAACTCAAGTACTACAAATCGGAATGGAAGAATTCTTAGAGACTTCGCTCATGAAAACGGACAAGTAAGCGGTCCAAATTCTCCTACCCAAATTAACTATAATGGTACCGGATAAGTTCCAGATATTTTGATACTAAAAGGAATTAACCATACGCCTTATCTAGAAGTGGAAGAAGAGCTCAATTCAGATCATTTTCCGACTAATTTTATTTAGTATGGTTTATATCCTCCTATCCCAACTCAAAAAAAAATTACTAACTGGTCAGAATTTAAAGGTCTTCTAGAAAATACCACATGTAACCCTCCGATACAGGATATTTCTGATATAGAAATGGCAGTTACGAGACTTAACCAAAATTTTAACAAAGCAATAGAAGATTTTTGTAAAGTCATTTCATCTCAAATCACTCTGAACTTCCCGCAAAGTATACTTGATAAAATTCAACTTAAAAACAGAGTCAGGAAAACATGGAAGCTTACTAGAGATCCTCAAGTCAAAAGACAACTAAATCACCTAATTAAAGAATTTAGCGATGCAGTAGTAGAATACCAATCTGAAAAATGGGATCTCCTATCTCATATGGAAATTGATAGAAATTCAGTATGAAAAATTTCTCGCTCTCTTAGAATTAACGGTTACTCCGCCACTGGGCCACTTCAGCATAATAATTCTATCGCATATACCGAAAAGGATATGGCTAATGTATTTGCAGACGTTTTAGAACAAACATTTATTTCGCATATGATCGGAGACCCACAGCATGATGAAGAAATCAATTTAGAAGTCAAGCAGTACTTAGAAAATCATAACGATCAAATTATTTCTCCCACCTCACCTCAAGAAATTCAACAAATCATCAAAAATATGAATATAAAAAAAGAACGCGGCTCTGTTGGAATTTCAAATAAAGCTATCAAAGAACTTCCACTCAAATGCAAAATTCTCATTGTGAATATCATCAATGCATGTAAAAAAAAATCGTACTTTCCACAGCAATGGAAGCACGCAATTATTATCACCTTCCCCAAACCCAACAAAGATCCAAAAAATCCTACCAAGTATCGCCCAATAAGCTTAATACCATGTCTGGGCAAGATCTTTGAAAACGTTATCCAGGTACAACTCAACGATTGTATTTCAAAAAGTAATATCATCAGAAAAAAACAGTTCGGCTTCATACACGGACATTCAACTACTACGCAAATTTTAAACGTCATTGAAACAATAGGAGAAGCCTAAAAAATCATGCCTAGTACCCTGCTTTTTAGATATAGAAAAAGCTTTTGATCGGATCTGACATAGAATTTTAAGACATAGAACAATGTGAAAATTTTAAATAAGTAACAGACGAAATGACAGCGTCACGTGCAAAGCAAGTATAACGAACGTTTCTATTATAAAAAAAAAAAAAAAAAAAAATGCGTTGAAACGTTTATTCTTTGTCTGTATTGTCTTATCTTTATCTATTTTCAGATACATTGTTTAAAAATATTTGGTAATTGTAAAATTATTATACTAAGAAATATCAAAACTGCTAATTTTTTTGGAGATCCCCTGCTGCAGGTGCCGCGACCTCCAATTTAAGAAACTCTGTTTTATGAGGAGTCATGGTCTATAGACATGAAACAACGATGCGACAATTAACAGTCTAAAATTCCAGTTAATGCTGCGAAAAACAGTTTTTTCTTAACTGAAACTACTTATTTGAAATTAATAAATGACGTACAAAAAGCCAAGATGACTACTAAGAAGGAGCTCAGGGACTAACTAGCAACTAATTTACCTAAACTCATTTATCCTGTTAAAGAAGGCGTCAGTACTATACAGTATTAGGCCACGAACTCTGAGTTATTTCACGTACTTCATGAAGCTCATTTGGCTATTGGACGCTCAGGATGTGATAGAACTTTCAACCAAATACAAAAACGTTACACGTCATGATATTGAACTGTACATTCACCTTTGTGAACCTTGCCAGAAAAAACAGTAAGGTATAAAAACGGCATTGTTGTGAAACCTATGATTTTTACCGATCTATCTGACAATGGGATAATTCCCGTTAGCAGGTAGATCTTACTGACTTTCAGCCAGATAGAGAATATAAATATATTATGGTGTACCATGATCAGCTCACAAAATTTGTGATTCTAACGCCAAAAAGAGCTTAAAAAATAACCTGCAACCTAGTGGACATATTCTCGTTGCTTGGAGCGCCATCTATATTACACTCTGACAATGTGGTGACCAGCTTGAAGGAATTTTGGCCAGCACTGAAGTTCGTCCATGGGAAGCCTCGCCATATACAAAGCCAGAATACTGTCGAAAGAGCTAATCAAGATATCGAAAATATGCTCTGTACTTGGATGCAAGGCGACAAATCTGACCGCTGGAGTGAAGGACTGCATTTCGTTCAATTTAGGAAAAGGGAGCTTCTCATTTTAGGATAAAAAGAACACCATACGAAGCTCTTTTTTGGCTGCAAACCTAAAGTAGGGTTTACAACGACTTTTCTACCTGAAGATATTTTAAAAGACAGAAATACAGAACAGCAGAAGGAAAAAGTATTAAAAAAGAGTCCAAACAATCAGAAAAAAGTGAAACTAATCAGATTGTGCAAGAAAAAGAGCCTGTTTCAAAAAACATGGATGAGATTATAGTTGATAGTGGAGTAAACCAACATTATGAAGACATGCTTACCGAAGAGGCTTCCGTTTCTGGTAGCTGTTGTGTGTCTTTAAAAGAAACGCGTGATGCACTTGCATGCAAAATGTGTCGTATAAAAATTCATACCTTTTGAGGTCATGTTAGTGAAAATGATGAAATGGATATTTTGTGCACACTTTGTTTCAAAACTGAAACTGCTATTGAAGGTAAAATAAATTCTAAATTCAATCTGGAAATACAAGCCAAGAAAATGAATTCTGAAGGGAAAAAAATTCCCACTGCTTCTTTGGGAACTACTGTGCGAATTCCTATTACTGACGTCGACCAATGGCGAGGTGATTCGCGCAATATATTGGCGGTTGTAATAATAGTGTGACAGAGGACGGTTTCTGCAGACTTGGAACATCTGAAGGTATTTTAAAATAAGTTGTATACGAGATCACAATTCTTTTTATGCCTTGCTTAGAACTGAAGCCAGATAGAAAACACAAATTTATCATGTTGCATCAAGCTTATATGACTATTTGTTTTACATATTTTGAATAACAGTTTTTTAATGGCACGCTTTCGTTAATTTTTCAAAATAACATTTGTATTTTTGAGGAATGAACATCTTTTAAATAATAGCCTTATCATAACCTTTCTTTTTATGCTTTGCCTACATAGCATTTGTCCTTCTATAGAATGCCTAGGTATTATATACAATGCCTAGGGAAGGTGTGCAATAATTCTCATATTTCACACTTTGCCTAAAAACGTCAGGCAGTTTTTAGGTAACAGATACAATGTTTATTGAGAAATAAATTACATTTGAGTAAATCCAGTTTATTATAAAAACATCGATTTGGAATTTTTGATAGACTTAACATATTTCATTCCTCCAGGATATTATTTATCCATATAAGAATTTAAAACAGAATAGAAAGAATTAGATCGAGTATATATTTTTAATTTTATTTCGCATTTCACAGCTAGTTTACACTAGGGTAGGTTTATCCAAATAGCCATTTATTTCGCAAGCACCCTTACTGCAGGATACGAAAGAAATCAAATGATATGTGGGGAAAAATAAGGGATGTAATAAAAATATCACTTACGGAAGCTATGGCTAGAAAGGGAGGAGCAACCACATCCAGTTTGGTAGGATGGACCATCATTGCTATATCTACTACTTCAAATGCTCCAGATTTAATTAACGCTATTTTTCCTCCTTCATCTTCTTCAGCTGGGGTGCCCAGAACAATCAGCTGGAGTAGAAAATTTATATGAGTTCTCAAAAGAATATCGAATTATTCTGATCATTAACTCATTTGTTTGCGCAACCTATTCTAGCTGCTTAATTTTTTTAACCGTATGTAAAATACGTTTCTTGTGATTGAATGGTTTTTATATGATGACCATAAAAGCGCTGAGCGAAGTTAAAGATGGTTTCATACTAAAAGTACAGAACTAAACGGCATGGCTGTAAAATGCATAATAAAGTCTTAAATGTTTAGTGTGAAATGAAGCTGTGACAGATCAAAGTGACAAAGTGAGAGATCAGTGGCATTGTTTACTTAGTCATGCTGCCTAATATAAGATCGTTGATTTTTTTTCAATCATGAATAATTGGGGTGCTGCTAAACAGCAAAACTTAATCTTCTCTTCTCTTCTCAGTTGCTGAGAGACAATGATTTTCATTCATGAATATTCCTGGTTCTGTGGGTTCCTTGGTAACTACATCAGACGAACTGCAAGACATTAAAATTTCATGAAATTAATAACAGCCCATGTAGAAAGATAAACAGGTATAATTAGCCCCAGGAGAAAAATAAGGTAAAACAGATTCTCCTTGGCTCGCAATGAATTTAACAGATCACCAAAATCACTCATAGAGTAAAGTCAAAAGCAGTAATCACCAAATAGAAACCTAAACTGAATAACTGATCTAATTCTCAATTGGCCAGAACATCATATTTACATGCTACATGTTTGCTCAAAATGGGAGGTAGAATAACTGAACTAATTCTCAGTCATTTAGAGCATATTATTTACAGGTTTGCTCAAAGTGGTGGGTAAGCATTTCTGAAAGCTTCGAGAAATATTTCTCCTAAGGCTTCAAAAAAATATGTTTTCTAGAAACTTCGAAAATATCATCAAATTGGCTGCCAAAATCTTCGTCAAACCCAGTAGGAGAGTTTTGCTTACATTAAGTTTAGACTGAGCTATCCTTACATTTCAGACGTCAATTGATTCAAAATTAAAAAATCGACAATAGAGAACATGGTATAAATATTTACAGACACAATAAATAGCTAAAATTTGATTTAAAAGCATATTAATAAATTATTATGTAACATGCACTAGATGAATAAATCAAATTATATATTGCAAAATGCGTAAAATCTAAATAACAAACAAATAAACTTTCAATAATATATTTCTGAGAAAAACGAACATATTATTCAAAATATTTTTGCTCATTTTGTGCAAATATTTTGGTTCTTTTTAAACTTAAATGCAACAGTAATGAAGCGTATATCACAGACCGGTCACTTGTAAAATATAGTTTTGCAAAGATTTGGAAGAATTAGCGGATTATGTTTATTAATCGGCAAAGTATATCAATGACTTCTGGAAGTGAGAATGGCTCTCACCTTCCCAGCTAGTTGGGGATCCGCTTCCATAGCTGCTTTTACTGCTATACTGGCAGCCAGACCCGCTTCCGCAATCAGGTTGTGGCCGCAAGCATGGCCTATTTCTGGTAGAGCATCATATTCAAGCAGAATGGCAACAGTAGGACCATCGTCTGGAAACAGATAAAAACATCTGAAAACAGGTAAAAAAATCATAATTTCTGAAAATAAGATGAATGACTGCATAACCGTAAATCGAATTGGATGTTACTTTGATGAAAATCCAAATTTCTATCACATATATACTCTCATTAGCAATTAAGCTTTTTTTTTTTTTTTTTTTTTTTTTTTTTTTTTCCCCACTGTACTGACCAAATGGAATTCCATGAAATCTTATAATTTTCCCAGAGATACCGCGTGTCAAGAATATTAATTACACCAAGTCCAGGAAATTGATTATTGTGATAAATTTATTTTCCTACACCAAAACACAGCAAGTAATGCAGAGAAATTAATTTATCACAAATGCTTTTCCAGTTTTCAAAATTAATCATAAAGTTAAAAATTTTGAAAAATTTCAAGAAAGGTCTACTATTTGTATAAGCTGTTAGTATCGTTTCGGTTTTGAATAAGAAAACCTACTTTTCCACTTTTTTTTTTTTTTTTAAAGTCCATGAGCTAATCAAGCTCAACAGAAAGTCGCTATATTTTGAAAATTCTTATATTGAGCGAAGTTAAAATATTGATTCATTCTATAATAGGCTATAATAACTTTAGAAAAATTACCTGTTTCATCGACATTCCTGCCGTAAGGTGGTGCTACTAGTATTACATTCAACAATAACCGGAAAGGCTTGAAGCCATTACCTGCCATCTATCTTTCAGATAGTTTTTTGTTCAAAAATTCGCGATTATAAATCGTTTGCTCTTTCTATTTTTATTTATTCTAACAAGGATTCGATAAAAATTTTAATAAGAGAATAAAACGAAAGCCAGTGAATATTTCAGCAGTATGTGGATAATACACTGACTACCAATAAGTATTTGGACACCTATGCAAATGACGATATCTGTGGTCCTAAGGTACGTCACGGACTCCGCCGGTATATATCGTGTAGGAAATAGCATCGGCTTTAGTCGCATGCAAGATGCCTCGCAGTTCGGAGCTCTCTGATTTCGAGAAAGGTATAATTATCGGGTATCACAAATGTGGCCGATCCTTAAGGGACATATCTAGCGATCTGAAGTACCCAAAATCGACAGTGGCCTATGTGATTAAGAAGTGGAAGGTGAGCGGTGATTGTCGGAATGTGCCCCGAGTCGGCAGACCAACGAAACTGGGAGATAGAGACCGACGAGTGCTGTCCAGAGAAATTCGGAAGAACCGCACCCAATCGATGGCCCTCATCCGCGAGGAGCTTCAACAGGCATCCGGGAGTATTGCTTCAATGAATACCATCCGTAAGGAAGCACATCTGCTTGGTTTTCATGGTCGTGCTGCTGCCCATAAGCCTTTGATCACAAAGTCCAACCGCGCTGCTCGGTTAATGTGGTGCAAAGCACATCGAAATTGGCCCGTAGAGATCAGTCAAAACGGGTTCTTTGGAGTGACGAATCAAGGTTCACCCTTTACCGTTCGGATGGCAGCATGGAGGTAGGAAAGGGAGGAGGGGCCAACCCCGCGCTAAAAGTGAAGCACTGCTTTGAAGCTTGGGTCACCAGATGAGGTGTTCTTTGTTTACATTCAGAAGCTCGCTTGACAAGATTCTCATAGTATTTCGACACACGACAGTTCCATAGAAATCGATTTCGCATGAAAGAAACATTCATAGTGTGATGGATAATAGCAATTTGTATAGTTTAGTGACATTTACGCAAAAATCACATCTTGGTTACTTTTCGATAACTAACAACAGCGATTTTGATTATGAATTGTTTTATAAAATTCTAAGCTGTTGCACTACAAAAATATAGATTTCAAGAAAAATGTTATGCTTAAAGAATGAAAAATACTTTACGGTACATTTAAAATTGTATATGTCTTTCGATACCCTTGATAGAGTATTCGCTACTTTTATTTTATTTTCCAAACGTCAAAATGCTTTAAATAAAACAAATTTTTTTCACATCCATATATTATTGTAACATGTACCTTTTAAAATTTTTTAGAGGAGAGGCTTACTGCTGCTCATTTTAAACCCATCGTTTTAATTTTATATATCTGAAAAATAATCACTTTGAGCTTACACGTTTTATAAATATAAAATTATGTATGTTAAAATATTTGTAATTAGGCACATAGGTCAGATTAAGTTTTTATTAAATAGAGTAACGCATGCAAGGGCTATCTGCCTAAAGAGAGAGATGCCATCGTGGAGGAATTTTGAAGAAAAACTGACCTTTGAGTGGGTATTAAAAATAATACTTATAATTTTCATTCAAATTATATTCATATATATTTTTTATGTAAAACTTTCGGGTGTATGCTAAATTAGTGTAAATTACTTTACACGAAAAAAAAAAATATAGTGAATGCACAGAAATTAAAGATTTGCACATGCCGGAAATGATAAATAGGAAATATGTATGGGATATTTATGCATCGTGCTTGCAAAAAGCATATATCTGCCTTTGACAAAATACTTAAATATTCATTAAATTATTTATAAATGTATTTGAAATGAAGAATTTATTCACTTATAAACAACTGTGAAAGTACTGTGAAGAAGAAATCTAATGATTAAATGTATCTAATTTATAATGATTATAAATGTTATCTAAATATATAATAACCTTAATATTGAATTGTAAACATAAATTGAAATCCTGTTGACAAATACGTTATAAAACTATTTAAGCAAGAATTGTTCGTATTGGAAAGCAATCTGTTGAAAAGTATTGTAAAGCAAATACTATGAGATGCGCACTTAAAGAACGTAATAAAGAGTTTTGGAATATGTATTGTTGAAATGAAGGGTAAAAAAAAATCTGATAAGTATAATTAAAAGAATTATTCCCCTTACATTTTATAATAACTCAGTTACAAGTTTTAAATAATACTTAAAAAAAAAAACTTATTTTATTCCCGTTCAGAAATGTTCAGAGAAAGTCAAGTACTATTTAATACCTATTTAATTGTTAGGAATTAGCGAAATACTTATTTAAAGTATTTCGCTAATTCCTAATAATTCTCTAATTTAAAATGAACCGAATAGAGCATTAATTATAAATTGACTTACATTTTTCGATTTAAAAGAAGCCAAAAAATCATGTCATATTTAAGAAAGAATTTTAGGAAGAAGCTCTATAAATAGAAAAGAAATAATGCATAATTTTAATATTAATAATACAATAAACTTTGATCTTAATTTTTGTACCTTAACCGAATAAAATCGAATTACCTTAATTTTTTTTTTCTAATGTAATTAACGAAAACTTGTGAAAAATATTTCATTCAAATTAAACCATTCTGAGAAAACTGTCCTGTGAAAAGTATAGCATTTAATTCCGTTCAGAATGAAATGTTGTTTAAAAATATGTTGTTTTCACATACTTAGGACTCTGAAGTGTTGTAGAAAAAGAAAATATATACATTTATGTGTATATTTGCGACGTATTTGCGACGAGAAACTTGTTAGGGCGACTCCATCTTACTTCCTACCTCCATGGATGGCAGGGTCTGGGTCTGGCGTCTACCTGGAGAACGTCTCCTGCCAGAATGCATTGTGCAACAGTCAAGTTCGGCGGAGGTGGAATTATGGTCTGGGGGTGTTTCTCCTGGTATGGGCTGGGACCCTTGGTCCCCATTCATGGTAAGCTCAACTCCGATGCCTACTGCACTATTCTGGATGACAATGTGCTTCCTACGTTGTGGCAGTTTTACGGGTTGGACCCCTGTTACTTTCAGGACGACAATGCCAGTTGTCATGTTTCGACGTTAACCAAGGCTTGGTATGGTGCCAATGGAGTTCATCGAAAGGACTGGCCTGCCCAGAGTCCAGACCTGAACCCTATCGAGAACCTCTGGGATGAGTTGCATCGCCGAATTCAGGGGTGCACTACCCGTGCAAAATCGGTGAATGAACTTCTATGTCTTCTCCAAGCCGAGTGGAAGAAAATACCACTAGCTGTCATACAAAGACTTGTGGAAAGTATGCCCCGGAGGGTCCACGCTGTAGTTACCTCTCGTGGAGGCTCTACCAACTGTTGATTTTGAATACAATTAGTTTTTCTTTCTACCACAGGTGTCCAAATACTTATTGGTAGTCAGTATAGTAATCAAACATGTAGATCAAGGAGTTATTTAAAAAATATAAATGTAAATAAATATATAGAAATTCGTTTCTGTAGAATTTTTAAATTCTGATTGCAGCATCAAGAACTTCCTAGTTGAATTCAACACAAAAGATGCAATTTCACGGTTTGTATTACTTGAAAACGTGTAAATAATACACCTTTATAAAAGGTTTGGCGCAAACTGAAGAAAAATTCTTAAAAAAAAAAAAAAAAAAAAAAAAAAAAAAAAAAAAAAAAAAAAAAAAAAAAAATTGAAATTTTTCCAGATTTTAAATTACGTCCAAAGGGGCGTTTGTTTAACGTTTTGAGTGTTACCTTTATTTATTAAATATCATGTTCTTTGCACTTAAACCATAAAATTCAGTTCAAGAGCAATATCGCAAAATAATGTTAAATTAAGCATATCTTTAGAATTTCCGATATACACAGTCTCGCGAGCTGGAGATAAAAGTATTTTTTTTCTATATAACGTTGCCATTTCTCGCTTTTTAAAGCATTGAGTTTGTAAATCAAAAATTCGTTAAAGTTTTACAAAATATAAAATCTATAATAAAACAAATTCCAAATTTGGGATTTCAGATGCCCATATTCGCAGTAGGATTTCGTCATTCAAAATTCGATGGCTCTATGTACCATTGTTTTATCACAATGCGAGAAATAGACAATCATTTATGCAGATTTTTCATTATTTAATTTCTTCAAATATAATGCAGGACTCTAACATTTTGTGGCAACAGTTTGAAAAGTGAACCGACGTTTATGAGTCCGACGCAAAATGCCAAAAGGAAAGCAATAGTGCTTCGGGACTGAAATCCCTTTGGACTAAAAAAAAAAAAAAAAAAAAAAAAAAAAAAAAAAAAAAAAAAAAAAAAAAAAC